CTAATGCTAACGTCCATAAAGGAAGTGGAGCTGATGCTAGCTCTGTGCTAATGTTAACGTCCATGCAGGAGGTGGAACTCATGCTAGCCCTGTGCTAACGCTATCGTCCTAACAAGAAGTGGAGCTGCTGCTAGCTCTGTGTTAACGCTAACATCCTCACAAGAAGTGGAGCTGATGCTAGCTCTGTGCTAACATTATGGCTCCAACAAGAAGTGGAGCTGATGCTAGCTCTGTGCTAATGCTAACGTCCATACAGGAGGTGGAACTCATGCTAGCTCTGTGTTAATGCTAACGTCCATACAGGAAGTGGAGCTGATGCTAGCTCTGTGCTAATGCTAACGTCCATACAGGAGGTGGAACTCATGCTAGCTCTGTGTTAACGCTAACGTCCTCACAAGAAGTGGAGCTGATGCTAGCTCTGTGCTAATGCTAACGTCCATACAGGAAGTGGAGCTGCAGCTAGCTTGGTGCTAACGTCCCAACAGGAAGTGGAGGTGATGCTAGCTCGGTGCTAATGCTAACATCCATACAGGAGGTGGAACTGCTGCTAGCCCTGTGCTATAGCTAACGTCCTAACAGGAAGTGGAGCTGATGCTAGCTCTGTGTTAACGCCCCAACAGGAAGTGGAACTGCTGCTAGCCCTGTGCTGTAGCTAACGTCCATACAGGAAGCGGAGCTGATGCTAGCTCTGTGCTAACGTCCCAACAGGAAGTGGAGCTACTGCTAGCTCCGTGCTAACGTCCCAAAAGGAAGCGGAGCTGCTGCTAGTTCTGTGTTAACACTAACGTCCCAACTGGAAGTGGAGCTACTGCTAGCTCGGTGCTAACAATAGCGCCCCAACAGGAAGTGGAGCTGCTGCTAGCTCGGTGCTAAAGCTAATGGTCGGCGCTCGGTTCCCGGTGGCTGAGATCCATCATGCTGCCGGACCACACAAGCCCGCGACGCTAAAACAACACCATTGTGCTAGCAGGGAACAATGTGGCAGCCAGGACATGATTTGTGATGGCGGCCAAATGACAGCTGAATAACAGCAGAAGAAGAATGAGTCTGAGCAGGAAGTGGAGCTGCTGCTAGCTCTGGGGCTAAAGCCCCAACAGGAAGTGAAGCTCCTACTAGCTCTGTGTTAATGCTAGCTCTGCGCTAATGCTAACACCCCAACAGGAAGTGAAGTCACTTTGAAGAGAATAAACCACATTTTTAAAAAAATTGGGGGGAATAAATATTTTTTTGTGGTACTTTTGTGTCTGAAGTAGTTTTGTGTCTCTTTGTGGTTGTCCTGTGTCTCTTAAGTTGTTTTGTGCCTATTTGTGGTAGTTTTGTGTCTCTTTGTGATTGTTTTGTTTCTCTTTAATGTTATTTTGTGCCTCTTTGTGGTTGTTTTTCTCCCTTTAATGTTGTTTTGTGCCTCTTGTGGTTGTTTTGTCTCTCTTTAATGTTGTTTTGTGTCTCTTTGTGGTTCTTTTGTGTCTCTTTGTGGTTCTTTTGTTTCTCTTTATTGTTGTTTTGTGCCTCTTTGTGGTTGTTTTGTGCCTCTGTGACTGTTTTGTTTCTCTTTAATTTAATTTTGTGTCTTTTTTTGGTTCTTTTGTGCCTCTTTGTGGTTGTTTTTCTCTCTTTAATGTTGTTTATTGTCTCTTTGTGTTTGTTTTGTGCCTTTTTGTGTTTGTTTTGTGCCTCTTTGTGGTTGTTTTGTCTCTATTTAATGTTGTTTGGTGTCTTTCTGTCTCTCTGCACGTTTTTCTGTCGTCCAACTGCTTCATCTCATCTCGGCTCTTGATCGTCTCCTTTCTAACGCTTTGCTGTTTTTGTTTTTATCAGAGATGAAAACAGATGAAACCAGAAACCTTTCGGCTGGAAAACGCTCCAGACCTCCTGCTCTGAGGTCTGGGTTTCCCTCCAGAACCAGAGCCGGTGTTTCTCATTTAGGGGACAGAGAACCAACCGTTTCCTGATGCTTCGGAGGTTTGAAGTCGTGTCTGTAACCGAGAGAAAACAGTCCAGTCAAATCAGAAACAAACGCCTTGTGAGTCTGTGCCGGGCCTGTGTGTGTCTGTGTGTGTTACTGTGTCTGTGTTACTGTGTGTGTGCGTCTGTGTGTGTTACTGTGTGTGTCCTTTGTGTTCCCGCTGTTTTATTGTGTGTGATTTCTGAGCTCTGACAGTCTGTAAAACATTCTGTTCACACAAACTGAGATCACTGTTGACATGTGTGTGTCTGTGTGTGTGTTGTGTGTGTATGTGTGTCTATGTTACTGTGTGTGTTTTTCTGTTTGTGTGTGTCTGTGTGCCTGTGTGTGTGTGTTTGTGTTACTGTGTGTCAGTGTGTGTATGTCACGGTGTTTGTTTTACTGTGTGTGCCTGTGTCTGTGTGTGTGTGTGTCTGTGTGTGTGTGTGTGTCTGTGTGTGTTACTGTGTGTGTGTCTGTGTGTGTTACTGTGTGTGTGTGTGTCTGTGTGTGTT